ACTGAGTCCATTTTTGAGAATGTACTTACAGGAATGTACTTTTTTTCTGACTGAAAGGTCGCAGGTTCGAATCCGGGAAGGGGCATGAGCTCCCGCTGTTAGCCCCAGCTTCTGTCACCTCTGAGCTGAGAGGAGCGGTATATAAATATGGTAAATAAATTCTGCCAACCTAGCAGTTCAAAAACATATGAGTAGATCAGTAGGTACCACTCCAGCTGGAAGGTAATGGCACTCCATGCAGCCATGGCACCCACATGACCTTGGCGGTGTCTATGGACAACGCCGGCTCTTAGGCTTAGAAATGGAAATGAGCACCAACCCACAGAGTCTGACACAATTGGATTTAATGTCAGGGGAAAACCTTTAGCTTTTACTTACAGGGAAAATGCTACCTAGCCTTCTACTAAACGTTTCCATAAAAACAAGTAAACTGCAGATCTTTCAAGTGACTCCAATAAATCCTCTCCTTTTAATTATTTTTTCCTGATTTTTTTACTCAGTGAATGAAGGCAATTATGATTATGTCTGTATGGATATCGGGGAAGGTATATGTGGGGAAAGTGCAGTGTTATCAAGGTTGCCTCTTAGGACCTTATCACACAGATTGTGACAAATCCAGTGGAGCCCGGCAGTTAGTATGAGAAAACTATTGCTCCACATCCCCTGCCTTCCCCCTAACCTTATCCCATTGGGGGTCGGGGAGGGAACCATGACTGCCCAACTTCTCACTGTTGTTTTCAATGCAATACGGAAAGCCTCCTGTGTTGCCGCTGCCGCCTGCACACATGGAGCTTTGCCGGATGTAGATCAGCATTGAATGATGGAAGCAGGTGAGCTCCATCCCTGAAAAGGGGTGAAATTGGTGTAGGATGGGAAATTTTGCCCATCTGTTGAGGTGGTAGTTAGACAGCAGTCTGATGAGCCAGAAGCTAGGAGTCAGAATTTAAGAAGCAACCCAAGCAGGAAGCTAGAACTCAGGACCAAAGAGCAACCAAGGCAGCAGAAATATATATCTACTCAATGGGGCCTTGTTGACAGTAGACCAAATTAAAATGTAAATGCCTCTTATATTCCTTCTCATCAGAAAGATCCAGCTGTCTTCCTGGATATAGTCAATCCATTGTCTGATGTTACTTCACTCCAAAACTGCCACATAGTCCAATGGTAGGAAAGGGGTATTGTATTATTATTATTATTATTATTATTATTATTATTATTATTACATTGATAATAATATTGTAATGTAATAAAATATTATACTAATATAATACTAACATTAATACAATATAATTCAATATTATATATTACATGTAATATTACTAATAATATTGCAGTATAGTGGTATAGTACAATATAGTAATACTAATATTGTGCTATGCTAATAATATAATATATTGCATCTACATATAATATTTATCATAATATTGTAATACAGTATAATAATATCACTGTATAATAATATAATAATTATATATTATATATTACATGTAATATTACTAATAAAATTGCAGTATAGTGGCATAGTGCAATATAGTAATATATAATACTAATGTTGTGCTATGCTAATAATGTAATATATTGCATGTACATATAATATTGATCATAATATTGTAATACAATATAATACTAATATCACAATATAATAATATAATAATTATATATTGCATGTAATATTACTAATAATATTGCAGTATAGTGGTATAGTACAATATTGTTGTTGTTCATTCGTTCAGTTGTCTCTGACTCTTCGTGACCTCATGGATCAGCCCACGCCAGAGCGCCCTGTCGGCCATCACCACCCCCAGCTCCTTCAAGGTCAGTACAGTCGCTTCAAGGATGCCATCCATCCATCTTGCCCTTGGTCGGCCCCTCTTCCTTTTACCTTCCACTTTCCCCAGCATAATTGTCTTCTCTAGGCTTTGCTGTTTCCTCATGATGTGGCCAAAGTATTTCAACTTTGTCTCTAGTATCCTTCCCTCCAATGAGCAGTCGGGCTTTATTTCCTGGAGGATGGACTGGTTGGATCTTCTCACAGTCCAAGGCACTCTCAGAACCCTCCTCCATCACCACAGTTCAAAAGCATCTATCTTCCTTCACTCAGCCTTCCCTAAGGTCCAGCTCTCACATCCGTAGGTTACTACAGGGAATACCATGGCTTTGACTATGCGGATCTTCGTTATAATACTAATATTATGCTATGCTATTAATATAATATATTGTATGTACATGTCACTCATATAACTGAGTCTCCTTTGGGTTGAGAAGAGTGAGATATAAATGTCATAAATAAGTAAATAAATAAATAAATAAAAATAAGGGGGTGGATATAAATTTCAACCAGGAGAAAACTAATCTGAATTTGAATTTTATCAAAAATCCGAATACTTGTTTCCTGGCCTTGGAATGAGTGAAGTGATTAATTGTTAAGTAATTGATTCAGTCCATTTTTCTCACAATTTCACTGAACTCAGTAGATTTCCTGATTAAGGTTGACATTTTGAAAAAATCTTTAGTGTATTAGGTTGTTAAGGAGTTGTTAGAATTTATTATGGTGGGTGCCTCTTCCTCTGTCAAATTCAGTTAAACAGGAATATAAGCTGCCTCAGGAGAAGTGTTAGGACTGGAGGAAATGAATCACAGGGCACTTTTGTTAGGTAGACTAGAAGGAAAACTTTCTGAAGCCCAAGTTAGAACTGAAGACTCAAAAAACACTCAAAGAACAGAATTCAAAAAATGAGTCTTGGAGCAGAATGGGATCGTAGGGGAAAGATGTAGTTGAAAACCAAAGACCAAATGTAGTCTAGCCAGGGTCTTTTCAGAAAGCCAGTCCATCTTCTAACCTTTCCATGTTGCCTTTTAAAAATACTCCCATCCTTTAAAAAAATAATTATAAGGTAAGATGGATGCAGAGAATAGTGGCCTTGTCATATATCTCAGCATCTGAACTGTAGATGACAAAATTTGGAATTCCTGGATCCTGCATGTAAATGATTTGCTTCGCCATTGATTTGAGGACTCCACCATGTGATTGCAAATGAGCAGGCAGAAGGGATGCATTGATTGATTTCTGCAGAAAAATATTCTGCATATGCTTAGAGGCTCTCAAAATATTCTTCGTTGTTGATTCACTGCCTGATCTTTGAACGTATCGGCTTCTTGCTGCATTTATAGTGTATCAGTATTCTCTAACATTATTCCTTCTTCATCTTTAATAAACAATTCATTTAAATAATGAGAGAAGGTAAATCAGATATTCAGTCCGAGAATAAATCAGTATCCTATAACTGAAATACATTATTCCTTTTTCATCTTTAATAAACAATGCATTTCAAGAATGAGTGATTATAAATTACAAACTTAACTGAAGAGCATGTAATATGAGATCCCATGTTCTAGGACAGGGGTCCTCAAACTTTTTAAACAGAGGGCCAGGTCACAGTCCCTCAAACTGTTGGAGGGCCGGATTATAATTTGAAAAAAAAAAACATGAATTCCTATGCACACTGCACATATTTTATTTGTAGTGCAAAACAAACTTTAAAACAATACAATAAATAAAATGAAGAATAATTTTAACAAATATAAACATTAGTATTTCAATGGGAAGTGTGGGCCTGCTTTTGGCTGATGAGATAGGATTGTTGTTGTTGTTGTTGTTGTTGTTGTTGTTGTGTGCTTTCAAGTTGCTTCAGACTTAGGTTGACCCTGAACAAGGGCCAGATAAATTACCTTGGAGGGCCGTATCTGGCCCCCGGGCCTTAGTTTGAGGACCCCTGTTCTAGGACAAGCATTCCAACATGACAGTGGCCACAAATAATTAAATGTAACATTTTTAGCCAGTCCATTCCTTCAAATCCTGCCCTATAACTAGAGCTTTGTTTTTGAAAAGGAAATATTTATTAGATTACATTTTAAATAAAGGGGGGGGGCTCGTGGTTTTCTAACTCAGATTAAACTCAATTTCAACTTGTTGTCCACAAGGACTCCAAGATCTTTCTCACATGGACTGTTGTCGAGCCAGTGTCATCCATCCTGTATCTTTGCATTTTATTTTTTCTACCTAAATGTCGTATTTTAGGTTTTTCTAAGACGGAACAATGATATCATAGCACTTTGTCCTCCAAAACACTTTACATTTCTTTAGGTCTGCTAGTACGCCTTTACAAACACCTTATCTCCTTTCGTCCATGTCAATTTTAACTTTACATTTGGCCTTCCCACTGTTTTTAATTGTGTGTTGTCTTAGTGATAATGTTGTATATTTTATTGCCTATGTTTTATGTTTTATTTTTTATTGTATTGTTGTTTATCGTCTATATTGTTGTATTTGGGCTCGGCAAGTTTTCCGGGCTGTATGGCCATTTTCCAGAAGAATTCTCTCCTGACATTTCATGCATATCTATGACAGGTATCCTCATAGGTTTCTTGTGTGGTCACAAAACCTCTGAGGATGCCTGCCATAGATGTGGGTGAAACACCAGGAGAGAATGCTTCTGGAACATGGCCATACAGCCTGGAAAACTCACAGCAACTCTGTGCAAAATAGCTTCTCAGTGACTACTGATTGTGCACTTTTGTGTGCGAATCATGTGCTCTTTACAGATTATAAACAAATGATAAAATCAATAATATTTTCTTAAAGTTTTCCTCTTAATTGAGCTTATGATGTTATGCGTGATGATATATTGCCATTGGTCTCAATTTGTCATAGTAAATAAAATGTGGGAAGATTTTTCCCGAGTGGCATCTACCAGTATTTGTGTTGCCATCTGTCTTTGTTTGTGTACACACTTCAAGTTTTATATGCGTATATGGTTGATTTATTTTATTTTTGCAGTGATTGTAGTTATAGGACTGGTGCTTTTTGGCCTAATGAAGTGTCCTTCTCTGCCAAATGAACGAAATACAAATGCAGGACTGAATAGAGCTACATGATTTTCTTATAATCTCACTTTCGACTTACTCTATTTTGATTAAGATTGATTCCCTCTCTTTGGTAGGCTAATCTTGCCCAACTCTTGAGTGACACTCGGGATCGAAACAAGCATCTGGGAGAAGAAATCAAAGAACTTCAGCAGAGGTTGGGAGAAGTACAAGGTGACAACAAGGTACGGTACAAGCTGCATTCCAAAGCAACTGAATTATAACTTTTCATGAAGACTTGGTCTTGTATTTAACTTGCTAAGTGGCAGTTAAAATAGGTTCTGCTTGCAATATCCTAGATCATTATTGATCTTCATTTAGCTTAAAGATATCCAAGTGTTTTGCTTCCTTCTAAAGTTTTGCTTCCTTCTAAAGTTAAGCCTTTGACTGTGTGGATCATAATAAATTGTGGCAAGTTCTTGGTGGGATGGGCATACCGAGCCACCTTGTCTCTCTCCTGAGGAATCTGTACAAGGACCAAGTAGCAACAGTAAGAACTGACCACGGAACAACAGACTGGTTCAAGATTGGCGTACGGCAAGGCTGCATACTCTCACCCAACCTTTTTAACTTGTATGCAGAACACATCATGCGATGTGCGAGGCTTGATGAATGCAAAGCTGGGGTGAAAATTGCTGGAAGAAACATTAACAACCTCAGATATGCAGATGACACCACTCTGATGGCCGAAAGCGAGGAGGAGCTGAGGAGCCTTCTAATCAAGGTGAAAGAAGAAAGTGCAAAAGCTGGGTTGCAGCTAAACATCAAAAAAATCAAGATTATGGCAACAAGAATGATTGACAACTGGAAAATAGAGGGAGAAAATGTGGAGGCCGTGACAGACTTTGTATTTCTAGGTGCAAAGATCACTGCAGATGCACTGTGGCCAGGAAATCAGAAGACACTTACTTCTTGGGAGGAGAGCAATGTCCAATCTCGATAAAATAGTAAAGAGTAGAGACATCAGACTGGCAACAAAGATCCGCCTAGTCAAAGCCATGGTATTACCTGTAGTAACCTATTTCTGCTTCATTGACTCTTCTAAAGCCTTTGACTGTGTGGATCATAATAAATTGTGGCAAGTTCTTGGTGGGATGGGCATACCGCCACCTTGTCTCTCTCCTGAGGAATCTGTACAAGGACCAAGTAGCAACAGTAAGAACTGACCACGGAACAACAGACTGGTTCAAGATTGGCGTACGGCAAGGCTGCATACTCTCACCCAACCTTTTTAACTTGTATGCAGAACACATCATGCGATGTGCGAGGCTTGATGAATGCAAAGCTGGGGTGAAAATTGCTGGAAGAAACATTAACAACCTCAGATATGCAGATGACACCACTCTGATGACCAAAAGTGAGGAGGAGCTGAGGAGCCTTCTAATCAAGGTGAAAGAAGAAAGTGCAAAAGCTGGGTTGCAGCTAAATATCAAAAAAATCAAGATTATGGCAACAAGAATGATTGACAACTGGAAAATAGAGGGAGAAAATGTGGAGGCCATGACAGACTTTGTATTTCTAGGTGCAAAGATCACTGCAGATGCAGACTGTGGCCAGGAAATCAGAAGACGCTTACTTCTTGGGAGGAGAGCAATGTCCAATCTCGATAAAATAGTAAAGAGTAGAGACTTCAGACTGGCAACAAAGATCCGCCTAGTCAAAGCCATGGTATTCCCTGTAGTAACCTACGGATGTGAGAGCTGGACCTTAGGGAAGGCTGAGCGAAGGAAGATCGATGCTTTTGAACTGTGGTGTTGGAGGAAAGTTCTGAGAGTGCCTTGGACTGCGAGAAGATCCAACCAGTCCATCCTCCAGGCAATAAAGCCCGGCTGCTCACTGGAGGGAAGGATACTAGAGACAAAGTTGAAGTACTTTGGCCACATCATGAGGAGACAGCAAAGCCTAGAGAAGACAATTATGCTGGGGAAAGTGGAAGGCAAAAGGAAGAGGGGCCGACCAAGGGAAAGATGGATGGATGGCATCCTTGAAGTGACTGGACTGACCTTGAAGGAGCTGGGGGTGGTGACGGCCGACAGGGAGCTCTGGCGTGGGCTGGTCCATGAGGTCACGAAGAGTCGGAGACGGCTGAACAAATGAACAACAACAACAAAGTTAAACAAACATGAAGGGAAAGAAAAGGAGGAAGGAAATTGGGTAAGGTAAGAGCAAAGCTACATACGGACTATGAATTATGACATTTGAGAGATGAACTGGAGGTGGGAAGTAAGACTAATTTTGGCTTAGGAGCAAGAGGCTGAGGTCTAACTGCCGTAATCATTTCTGAAACACTCAATGATGATTTCCATGTCCTCTGCAAAAAGCCTGGTTTTCTTTGTAATCCACTTGTTTTATTGACTTGCATGATAACCTTGGGTTAAACAATATATTTTCATTGCCAGCTTATGTGTAAAGAGGCCATCAAAACTGTCAGACCTTTCATTGCTGTCATCATTAAACTGGAAAGCTGGTGTAGTATAGTGGTAATATAATGAGAGCTCTGCCTCACAAATGCTTTGGCTGAAGAATCTCATTGGCTGTCAACTCTTAGAGTCTTTTAAGCAGAATTCATTCTCTCTTGGCTTCAGTTGCCAGGCCGAACCTACTTATTTAATACGAAGAAGTAATGCAATAAATGGTGGAATTACACCATTTTCCTAATCATTGCCACTGGCTCATCTGCTAAATATTCAATGCATGCAAAGGGTTGTTTTACTATATTTCCAATGCTCTATGTCTCTTAGTTTGATGATCTTTACAATTTGAGTAAATTTACTGGGCTGTTGAAGGGATTATTTAAACACTTGGCATACATGCAGGGCACAAAATGCTAATAGTTCCCACTTCAAAGGCAGTGGCTTATTGCAGAGATGATGTTTACTGAATTTATAGTAAATATAGGGAAGATTGCAAATCATGGTTTAGAATAGCATGCCAACTTTTGTTTTGAAACATTTCAGTATATGCAACTTCATAGGTCCTCTCCCTTTCTATTGTGAAGGACGATTTGAAAAAGCATGTTCTGAAGCTAAAGTTGATGTCTGTTTACCAATCTAGACCATTGAGCCTTTGAAGGGAATGGTTTATTGTGTCAGATAACATACCAAACTATAATTAATATTCCACAAATGGTTTAGCATGATGTCTGAGATGATCTTATGCTTTAAACCTGAGCGATACATTATATATGCTTTAAAACTGAGCGATTTGTTGTTTATTCATTCAGTTGCTTCAACTCTTCATGACCTCATGGTCCAGAGCTCCCTGTCAGCCATGGCCACCCCCAGCTCCTTCAAAGTCAGCCAGTCACTTCAAAGATATCTCCTAATAATAATAATACTTTATTTATACCCTGCTACCATCTCCCTAAGGGACTCGGTGCGGCTTACATGAGGCCAAGCCCACAGTACACCAATAACAAAGCAATAACAAAACAGTCAGTGCAATACAATTAATATAAATCACATAGACAAAAAAAATAAACAATAACATACAAGCATTTAAAAACCAATGGCCGGGCCAAATGTAATAATTTAAAATTTTAAAAAATAATGCTGAGCATGAACAAGGTAGGATATAATTGGTATAGGGTTTTCTAAAAGAGATGAGGGAAATCAATGGTAAAGTGCATGTTGAGGGCGTATTGCTGAGAGTTTTCCTTATTCTGGGAAGGCACATTGGAACAATCACATTTTCAGGCTCCTCCTAAAGACTGCCAGAGTTGGGGCATGTCTGATGTGAAGTGAGTTCCAGAGTCGGGGGACCACCACCGAGAAGGCCCTCTCTCTCGTCCCCACCAAACGCGCCTGCGAAGGAGGTGGGAGCACGAGCAGGGTCTCTCCAGATGATCGAAGAGATTGTGTGGGTTCATATACAGAAAAGGTCATGCAGGTAGCCGGGTCTCAAACCGTTCAGGGTTTTGTACATAAGAACCTGCACCTTGAATTGGGACTGGAAAATGAACGGCAGCCAGTGAAGCTCCTTAAATAGGAGGGTTGACCGCTGTCTGTAAGTCGCACCAGTTAGTAACGTGGCTGCCACCCGTTGAAATTGAAATTTCCAGGCCATTTTCAAGGGCAGCCCCACGTAGAGTGCATTACAGTAATCCAATCTGGAAGTGACTAAGGCATGGACCACCCTGGCCAGGTCCGACTTCACGAGGTACAGTTGCAGCTGGCGCACGAGTCTTAATTGTGCGAAGGCCCTCCCGGCCACCGCCGACGCCTGAGCTTCAAGCGTAAGTGATGAGTCCAGGAGGACACCTAGGCTGCGGACCTGTGACTATGAACAATCTCAGATATTGAGATCATCTGGAGAGGTCCTGCTCTCAGTCCCGTCTTCTTCGCAGGTGCGGTTGGTGGGGACGAGAGACAGGGCCTTTTCAGTGGTGGCTCCTTGGCCATGGAACTCCCTCCCCAGTGATATTAGGTCAGCCCCTTCCCTCCTGACTTTCAGAAAAAAGGTGAAAACATAGCTTTGAGACCAAGCCTTCGGCAACTAATACAGTGCGATAGATGACTTGGATTTATGTGTAATGATCATTGGAATAGCCCGACCTTGATTGTGGATAATGTGATTTTATAGCTGTAAGTGGTATTGTTTATGTTTTAATTGCTTTTAACCTTGTTTAGATTTTTAACTAAATATTATTTAATTCTTGGAATTGTTTAAGGCATTGAATTTTGCCTCTGCTGTACGCCGCCTTGAGTCCCCATAGGGGTCGAGAAGGGTGAGATATAAATATAATAAAGATAATAGATAAAAAACCCACCCGTCTTGGTCGGCTCCTCTTCCTTTTTTCTTCCATTTTCCCCAGCATCATTGTCTTCTCCAAGCTTTCCTGCCTTCTCATGATGTGGCCAAAGTACTTCATCTTTGCCTCTAATATCCTTCCCTCCAGGGAGCAGTCAGGCTTTATTTCCTGGAATATGGACTGGTTTGATCTTCTAATGGGCCAAGGCACTCTCAGAATTTTCCTCCAGAACCACAGTTGAAAGCATCTATCTTCCTTCACTCAGTCTTCCTTATGGTCCAGCTCTCATATCCATAGGTTGCTACGGGGAATACCATTGCTTTAACTATGCAGATCTTCATTGCCAGTGTGATAACCTGAGTGATAGTTCTATATTATTAATTTCTTATTTATTTATCATGTCAGAAGCAAGTTGAGGGTACTGTTATAATGTAT